AGACAACAGTGGGGACCACGGTACTACAATGAATATTACCAGTATCAGACAACAGTGGGGACCACGGTACTACAATGAATATTATCAGTATCAGACAACAGTGGGGACCACGGTACTACAATGAATATTACCAGTATCAGACAGCAGTGGGGACCACTGTACTACAATGAATATTACCAGTATCAGACAACAGTGGGGACCACGGTACTACAATGAATATTACCAGTATCAGACAACAGTGGGGACCATGGTACTACAATGAATATTACCAGTATCAGACAACAGTGGGGACCACGGTACTACAATGAATATTACCAGTATCAGACAACAGTGGGGACCACGGTACTACAATGAATATTACCAGTATCAGACAACAGTGGGGACCACGGTACTACAATGAATATTACCAGTATCAGACAACAGTGGGGACCACGGTACTACAATGAATATTACCAGTATCAGACAACAGTGGGGACCACGGTACCACAATGAATATTACCAGTATCAGACAACAGTGGGGACCACGGTACTACAATGAATATTACCAGTATCAGACAACAGTGGGGACCACGGTACTACAATGAATATTACCAGTATCAGACAACAGTGGGGACCACGGTACTACAATGAATATTACCAGTATCAGACAACAGTGGGGACCACGGTACTACAATGAATATTACCAGTATCAGACAACAGTGGGGACCACGGTACTACAATGAATATTACCAGTATCAGACAACAGTGGGGACCACGGTACTACAATGAATATTACCAGTATCAGACAACAGTGGGGACCACGGTACTACAATGAATATTACCAGTATCAGACAACAGTGGGGACCACGGTACTACAATGAATATTACCAGTATCAGACAACAGTGGGGACCACGGTACTACAATGAATATTACCAGTATCAGACAACAGTGGGGACCACGGTACTACAATGAATATTACCAGTATCAGACAACAGTGGGGACCACGGTACTACAATGAATATTACCAGTATCAGACAACAGTGGGGACCACGGTACTACAATGAATATTACCAGTATCAGACAACAGTGGGGACCACGGTACTACAATGAATATTACCAGTATCAGACAACAGTGGGGACCACGGTACTACAATGAATATTACCAGTACTATCAAACAACAGTGGGGACCACGGTACTACAATGTCAAAACAGTGACAACTTTCGCACATACTTCTTTTGCACGCACACTAGCGCCACTAGCGCTATCTTTTAAAGTGCTATTTGGTCTATGCTCTGACCGCCAAATATGCTGTTGGCGCCACTAGCGCTATTTTTCAAGTGCTATTTTTGCCAATGCTCTGACCGCCAAAAGTGCCGGTTATAAGGACTTGCTTACTACCTTGTTAATCAACATTGTATTCGACCTGAAGAGTAATGGAATGAAAGACCTAGTCGAAAAAATCATATGGCTTCTGTGCTTCGTGTGCTAATTATAATTAATGCAGACATGGCCAGACAACAGGGAGTTTAAGGAATTTTAAAGAATGTTATTATCCAAAATCGATTTTGGATAATGAAATCGCTGGCTACATGCGAGGGGCCCTGGCTTGAGTTCTGGTGGTGGCAGTCAATTTTTCTTCAGATTATTCTCATTTTCGTCTTTCCTTCGAACCAGTAAGTATTTTATGACTTGGGTCTCCGGCGTGCAAGTTTTGTACGGGAAGAGTGTGGGATACAGTGAGGGCAGCGTCACACCCGCCTGTGTGGATTCACAGGAAGTGCGAGTTACGAAGTCTGAAGGGGATGTTGAACGGTCTCTGCTGGGATGAGGGCTGCACCATACCTCAGTGGTTAGAGCATTCTGGCTACAAGCTACGGTCCTCGATCCGCGTCCTGGTGGTGATAGTCAATTATTTCTCCAGATTTTTCCCGTTTTCGTCTTTCCCTCAAACCAGTGTGTAATAATTATAGGTTAGTGCATGGTAGGGAGGGCCTTATGGCTTGTTAGTGCCCGAGATGTTAGCTGGTGCCTCGTAGCGTGTCCTGTGGAGCCGCACGCGGTCGGCAATGGAGAAATGGTTGCGGATAATCCACTCTATGGCCGAGGCAACGGAATCGAAAATGGCTGGGCTGGAGCGAAGCCCAAACGGCAGCACCCGCTCATAATAGTAGCTGCCTTGCCAGAATATGCCGAGTAGTGAGTGGTCTTCGGCACGAACTGGGATTTGCCGAAATGCACTTTTGATGTCCAGCTTTGCGAGGTACACCGGCTGAGGTGAGGACATAATAGACTCGATTGCATCGTCGATACTGATGTAGTGCAGGGAAAACTGGTCAGCTGGAACTCCGTCGTTCACACTATTACTGGCGGGGCTAGCGAGATGGTGAATCATACGAAGCTTGCCGTTCTTCTTCGGTACCGCACCGACACCAGAACAGCGCATGAAGGTGAACGCATGAAGGTGAACGAGGCTGCACTAAAAGGACCAGCAGTTTCGCCACGCTGGCAAGAAGCATAAAACTGGTCAGAAATAAAGGACGCACAAGCAGCAGAAGATGGCAGATTAGCAGACTGGACAGAAACGCCGCGTGAAGCGGTGAAACCTATGCTACAGCCATAGCGCAGCCCGTTTAGCACATAGGAAGCAAATTCTTTATCGGGGTGATGACGCAATAGAAGCTCAAAACGAGAGACATGCAAAGGGGTATGTACAGAGGAATTAGTAATGTGAGGGGGAAGAACATTATGTACACATGCAACAGCTATTGGTTGCTAAGGCTGGGATTGCAATCCAGAACTACTGGGCTGGTCGCTGACCTTTGCCGGAACACTTGCTGCGGGGTGGTCCTTGCCACAGCGGTTGCAGATGTGGGCGAACCGGCAATTTGACCAGCTACATCTGCCAAGGTTAAAGTTTCGGCAGATGACGGCATCTATGCCTGGCCTTGCCTGTGATGCACAGCTGCCATGTATGTATGTCAATCGTATCAAAGCGCTTGCCAGGTTGTGAAGCAACAAACCTTCGAAGTTGCTGGTCATACATAAGCCAAGCCTCTGCAAAATACTGCCTGTTGGCCGCCAAGATCATGCACTGGTATGACAGGAGTTCTGCTGTGCGGTGGGGTGCATTGCTGATCGCAACATGCATATACAGAGACCATGCTTCTAACCAAGTGGCGATATTGTGCACACGTCTACGAACCGGGCAAGTGGTGTTCACCTCTACGACTTCCAGTGCACCCTCGGATGAACTGGATCTGAGCTCGAACGACTTATTGCTATCAACTGCCCCCAAGATCTCAGGCAACAATTGGTCGAAGTCCACAACCTCACCTTGCAATATCCTATCCTGCGCCGACTTTGGGACGTGCAGATTTCCAGCGTGAGGCGGTGTGGAGCACGCAGCACTCACGCCAATGTCGGATGACGCAGCTGGTGGCGCTGGTGACGCACTTGGCTGTGACAGAAGAGAGGCTCCAACCTCGTCTGTGATGGCAGAACGAACTTCAGCCCGAATAAGTTCACGAATACCAGTCGGATCCAAGGTGAGCGGGGATCGGCGAACACCTCGCATGTATCCACAGTGGGTTCGGCAGAGTCGTTTGCTGAAGATTGAGTTGGACCCAGGTTTTCTCGCTCCATGTCGTCCAGCAATCTCTGAACCAGAATGGATTTCTTTCCGGTGGTCAGCAGACCTCGATCGTCCAGCTCGGCTCACAGTTCTGCCACCCGCATCCGATGCACAATAGCCGACATTGTTTCAGGCACCAACAGTACGAGCTGAACACAATCGAAGCGTCTGGCTAATTAGTTACTCAAAGCTACCACAAGCTAGAAGCCAAACTCAGAGAGCTGAAAAATTCAGTGCTGCCAAACCGTCCAATTTTTCGGACAGTGTCCGATTTTTGAAGGCTCTTCCGAAAACCGGTCCGAAAAAGGAAACGTCCGAAAAGCAGCCAAAAATGTCAGGGATTAGTACTTTCCTATGCAGAAGTCCTGTAAGGCTGTATTTTCATTTTTCAGCGCAACTGAAGGCACAAATCACAGTACTTGTACAGTAAAAAGGCTAGCGCATACTCATGCATTACAAAATTCATGACAACTTCGGGGGTGCCATATCGGTTACCATGCCAACGAAGCGAATTTTCATGGTATTTTGAGCGTTATTTTGAATTCTTTGGAAAAAATTGTTGAGGAGAAAAATTCGCACCATGTGGCCAGTCTTGGCGGTGAACATGGTGAAGAGTGTCCGATTTTGGGCGAAAATTATTTGGCAGCACAGAAAATTTGATGCTGGCACAAGCTAAAAGTCACCACTAATTAGACTTCGAAGTGAAGCCAACAGCAAGAAAGAAAGAGAAAGTTCAAAGGAAGCAGTTGTGTGACGTCAGGCTAAGCGCGCCCAAATCCATGCGCTGGCAGTGTAAGTGCAGTGAGCAAAAGTCAAAGGAAGCAGTTGTGTGACGTCAGGCTAAGCGTGCCCAAATCTATGCGCTGGCAGTGTGAGTGCAGTGCGCAATGCACTGATGCAGCGGTGCGTGGCACATGCAAACATGGCAGTGTGATCGGTGGATGCTAACACACACAAACTACATTACTGCGACAAAAATAAATTTGACGAAGAAGGACACGTACACATGAGAAAAAAAGAGAGAAATAATGGAAACAGCTGACCTGCATGACTTGAACGAAATGAGGTTGACATAGACAAGACGAGGTTGACATAGATGAGATGAGGTTGACATAGACGAGACGAGGTTGAAGACGAGACGAGGATTACTGACGAGGAGATGAATGGCGGTTGAGGGCGACTAGGACGAACTCAAGTTCTCAATTACTAGCCCCGAATGAAAGTTCTACTGTACAAAATGAGACGATTTGTGTGATAAACTGTGATTTTGTCTACTGTGGCATTATTCTCTCCATAGCTATACGTTCATCTACCATTATGATTATGAACTACTGCGCAACTTATTGAGTGTTTTTCCTGTACCAATGATTCTTGCCTGTGCTTCCAGGGTAAAGACACTCCGTTGCACCATGCCGCCAAGCAAGGCAATATCGACATTTGCAAATCCCTGCTCGAAGCTGGTGCCGACAAGGACATTCAGAATAGTGTAAGAGCACAGTTTTTGAGTGTTGTGCATGGTGATTTGTATGTTCTGTCTTTGCACTATATACACAATGCATACAGTAAAGCAGTTAGTTTCTCTGACCCTGACGTAATTGGAATCTCGTCATGACCTGCAACACAGTTTCATGTACTGACTGGAAGTCAGTTCAAAGTGCGCGCCTACAAGCAGAATTACATGAAATGCGGAAATTGGACAATAACGTTGGCCAAAGGCCTCCTGTCTAATTGAACATGATCAATTACATTCCGCTTCATCGAAAGCTCATGCCAATATTTCGCTTAGAAACACCCTCGACATGCAGCTAGATTGACTTTCACATTGCTTATTGGTTTGGATTCTATGGATGGTGACTCACAACTTGTCAATTACTAGCCCCGGATGAGAGTTAGTTCAAATGTACAATATGAGACGAGGTGTTAGATAATTTTCACTTTGTTCACTGTTGCATTCCACTGTGCATTGTTTTGAGTTGATCTACTATTGTTTTCCTGTAATCTCATATCCAACGTAATGAGAACCTTTTCGTGAGCTGTTGCCCTTTGCCTGTGTTTCCAGAGTGGCAACACACCATTGCACTATGCTGTCTGGTATGGAAGAGCCGATGTTTTCCATACCTTGCTCGAAGCTGGTGCCAAGATAGACATCCAGAATAGTGTAAGAGCACAGTTTTTGAGTGTTGTGCATGGTGATACATACAGTAAGAATATAGAGTAAAATATTAGTTTCTCTGGCCCCGACCTAATTGGAATTTTTCATGACCTGAACTGCGTCTCTGGCCTTGCCCTTCAGCGCACGGTGAAGTCGGCGCAGGTTCTCCGCATGCGAAAACCCAAAGTCCCTGGTTGTTGCCTAGAACATCTTTTTGAAGATCAGCCATTCTTCAAGCTGCCCGGCAAACTGTGGCAGATCCCACCAGCTTGCCTGGCCATATAGCCTTTCATATGTTGCTGTGATCAAGTGTCCGAGGACTTCTGCGTGTATACCGCTGCCAATATAGCTCCAACAAGCTGTGTGATGTCAGACTGCGGCTGCTACGTAACAGCTGACTGTGGCGGCTGTTGCTGATCTACTGCAAGACTGTGTACTGTGGCTCTCAGTGGCGTGTCCAGGATTTTATTGAGGGGAGGGGGGGGGGGGGGGTTGCGGCCGGGATGGGGTGGGGAACCCCCGAATGAAAGTTCAAATGTACAAAATGAAACAATGCGTGAGAGAGGTTTTGACTTTGTTGACTGTTTCATTCCACTCTCCATTGTTATGACTGCGTTGATCTACAATTATTGTGATTGTGATCAAATATGTAAGTTATTGAGTACTTTTCGTGGACCCCTGTTTCTTTCCTGTGCTTTCAGGCTGGTGACACTCCATTGCACTGTGCCACCAAGCAATGCAATATCGACATTTGCAAAACCCTGCTCGGTGCCGGTGCCGAGAAGGACATCCAGAATATGGTAAGAGTACAGTTTCGAGTGTAGTGCCTGGTGTACATGCATGTACTGTATTCACTCTTTACCCAATACGTACAGTAAAGCACTTGTTCCTCTGACCCTGTCCCAACTGGAATCTTGTCATGACCTGAACATTATATATTCATACTCTAACTCGAAGCCAGTTAAAAGTCCACCGGAACATGTGGAATTATATCAAAGACGGAACTGGGGAAGAACCTTTGGGCAAAATCCTGCTGTCTACTTGAAATTGGTCAATTTAATTCCGTTTCGTACTATGCTCATGCAAAGGTTTTGCATGTTTACGCTCTCAACAGCTACTAGCTTGGATTCACTGGATGATCACTCATAAATTGTCAATTGCTAGCCCTGAGTGAAAGTTCAAACGTACAAAATTAGACGATGTGTGGGATAAATTGTGAATTTGTCAACTGTTGCATTCTACTCTCCACTGTTATGACTGCGTTGATCCGCACTTGTGATTGTGATCTAATATGTAACTTATTGAGTACTTTTCGTGGACCCCTGTTTCTTTCCTGTGCTTCCAGGATGGTGACACTCCGTTGCACTGTGCCGTCAAGCAATGCCATATCCCAATTTGCGAAACCCTGCTCGATGTCGGTGCCGAGAAGGACATCCAGAATTGGGTAAGAGTACAATTTCGAGTGTAGTGCCTGGTGTACATGCATGTACTGTTTTCACTCTTTACCCAATACGTACAGTAAAACAAATGTTTCTCTGACCCTGTCCCAACTGGAATCTGGTCATGACCTGAACACATTTTTTTATGTACTGACTCGAAGCTAGTTAAAAGTTCAACGCAACAAGTGGAATAATATCAAAGACGGAACTGGGGAAGAACTTTTGGGCAAAATCCTGCTGTCTACTTGAAATTAGTCAATTTAATTCCGTTTCATACTACAGTAAAACCTGTAATGGCGACCACTCGGATATGGCGACTACTCGACCATGGCGACCACTTTTCCTTGTCACGGACGCATTCACATTCAAAACACCTCGGATAAGGCTACCACTCGCTCAACGCGACCGGCGACCACCCACCCGGGACCGCGTTGCACAGTGCTAGTACATGTAAATGTACGCATTGCATGGTGCACCATGCATGGTAGATCTACACATCAGTGCAGGAAGTGTAGATGTACATGGTGCATGCACGACATTTGACAGGTCTGAGGACCCCAGGCACATAAGTCGTGCTAGAGTAGCATAGGTGTGTGCAATGCACTGATCAAAATGATGTATCACAATCATGTGGACATGGTCACATGACCCACTGAACCTGGATAAGAAGACCACCTGGCCACGGCGACCACTTTTTCTCGTCCCTTGAGACCTTAGACAGGTTTCACTGTATGCTCATGCAAAGGTTTTGCATGTTTACGCTCTCAACATTCAAATAGATTGAGCGTCCCGAGTCGTTTTCACCTTGCTTACTAGCTTGGATTCACTGGATGATCACTCATAAATTGTCAATTGCTAGCCCTGAGTGAAAGTTCAAACGTACAAAACGAGACGATGTGTGGGATAAACAGTTTTCTCTGTGTGTGGGATAAATTGTGAATTTGTCAACTGTTGCATTCTACTCTCCACTGTTATGACTGCGTTGATCTGCACTTGTGATTGTGATCTAATATGTAACTTATTGAGTACTCTTCGTGGACCCCTGTTTCTTTCCTGTGCTTTCAGGATGGTGACACTCCGTTGCACTGTGCCGTCGAACAATGCAATATCCATATTTGCAAAGCCCTGCTCGAAGCTGGTGCCGACAAGGACATCCAGAATAGTGTAAGAGCACAGTTTTTGAGTGTTGTGCACGGTGATTTGTATGTTCTGTCTTTGCACTATATACACAATGCATACAGTAAAACAGTTAGTTTCTCTGACCCTGACGTAATTGGAATCTCGTCATGACCTGCAACACAGTTTCATGTACTGACTGGAAGTCAGTTCAAAGTGCGCGCCTACAAGCAGAATTACATGAAATGCGGAAATTGGACACGTCAGGCGAAATTACTGGTCAGTCGGCGTCACGCATTTTTCACAAAAATTTGCGTTTCACCTGCTGGGAGAGTATGCGTGTACTCGAGTCTCATCCTGAGCGGTACCCTTTCCAACGGCCAAAGAGAGTTGGAAAGCTTGTGTCTTTGTGGGTAACCTGAACATTTGGGCTCATGCAAAATCGATTTTGCACCGATTTTGGGATTTCCCCACAACTTTTTGCGTCCGCAAAAATGTTGTGCTGGACCGCATTCCTGTCACTTCGCAGTGGCTTTTGGTTGGTGCAGTTTGTATCCCACCCTCCCACCCCTGACTTCTGGGTGTGTGTTTATCGATATATTATCGTATTGGTTTTTCTTATTGGCCATGTGGCTGTTGCAGTTACGACTGCTTTTCTTTTTTAGTTAAAAAACGTAGGGGTGGTGTGTGCGTCGTGGGCCATTGTATGGTTACATACAGCTTCAGATTGTATGGCTAGTGACAGGGGGGTTGAGTCTGCAGGGGAAGAATACAGTGATTGAACTGAAGCTGGATGATGACCGTGTGGTGAGTGTGTGGGGGGTTCGAGATGCCGTCCTGGGGCAGGGATGTCGGTCCTTTAGCTTGGACGGTTGTTGTTACATTCATTGTAACATTTTGTCGTTTTCTGTGTGTTTTGCTGTGCGACTAAGTAGCAGCAGTGTCTTGTGCTAATTTTTCTTATGATATCAGGCCCTACGCGTACAATTATTCAAAAAAAAGAAAAAAGAAAAAAGAAAAAAAGAAATATCAGGAAGGAGATATAATAATATCAATAATAAAGCCATTGCCGAGCCACCGTGCTCACAGCAGCGGTTGAGTACACGTTTTTTTCTTCTTTTTTTCAGCTCCAGTATAGCTGTAGTTTTCATTGCAAAGCCGTCCTCGATTGTTGTGTTCGTTGGTGAAACGAAGTGGACATTCAATCATGAAGGCAGAGGACATAGAAGCCTGATTGGAGTTTCTCGTGGCATAGGACGGCCACACAGAGACACTTTGGGATTTTCTGAATATAAAATGCCGTACGCACGATGCTGAGATCAATTTGTGCGATATCAAATTGTTTGTGATCTACCACATCGAGCAGAACGGGATCCAAACACAAGCTTACCGACGGTTAGGCTGCCGACCTGACTGGACAAATGATCCCTGGCTTCACCAGACGCCAGACGTCGGACACCATGTCCTTTGCCGCGACGTCCATCTCCAAAAAGAACTCCATCTTCGTCGTGAAAAGGCTTGAAATACTCAATATTCAACCGAGATTCGCGGTCTCACCCTTTCTCAGATCGAATCATTTTTTGTTGTAGCAGTTGCAGGGCAGATCCCCGCCACTACTTCAACAGAAGATGGCTCCAAAGCATACCTGGAACAAGCCATATCGAGGTTGCAAGCCACCCCTCTCAGCACTTTTTTTGAAGAAATTTTGAAATTTCAATGGTGGAAGATATACTATGAAGAGAATTTCAAAAAGTATATTTCGCGGAGCGATCGCTCAACCTACGTCATTCAAACTTTCCAGGATGGTTCAGACGTACATGCTAGGCATGGAACCACAGAAGATGATATCATAGCTGACACACAGAGTCACACACACAGCAGATTCGTGTGCACAGATACTAAATTAGTGGACGTCGTCATCTTCTTCCCGCTGATCTCAAATGTACGATGACGTGCTATTTCGCCTGACGATAACGTTGGCCAAAGGCCTCCTGTCTACTTGAACACCGTCAATTTCACTCCATTTCATAGCAGACTCGTCGCACCGACTTTGGAGGTGGGCGGCCATGGAAGGGGGGTCCGTGGGCCCTCCCCGGGAAAAATTTCAAAAATTGAAGCCAATTGCAAGCATTTCCGGGAATTTGGTGCCATTTCAGTGTAACTACAATGAAAGACTTTTTGATTCTGTAACAAGCCAAGAAGACGCTACGATCGGGGACAAGAATTCTTCATTATCCTCTCCCGGGAAAATATTTAAAACATTGAAGGCAAATGCAAGCATTTTCAGGCATTTGGTGCAATTTCAGTGTAACTAGTGCAATGAAAGACTTTATTGTTCTGCAATAAACCAGGATCGGGGACAAGGATTCTTCATTATTTGCCACGTTTGGGCTGAGCTGTGATCTTCGCGCTTAGTTGCAGTGTGCTCCAAAACAAAACAAAAACAAAAAAAGCCGAAAAAGTGCCGGCTGTGACGGCCTTGCATAGTATGCTCATGCCCAAATCTCGTTCGTTAACCCATTGAACGCTGATGACGTCTATAGACGTCATTGAAAGTGCCCCCCACGCGCGGGATGACGTCTATAGACGTCATGGGATATAGTGATTTCTGGCACTGTCTAGTGTGGAAATGCACTGTTAGTCAGTTGGATCATGATCCTGCCTCTTGTACGATAGGTCGTTGATACGAATCCAGCTTGGAAACACTACGCGTCTTTTTTTCTTCTCTTTTCAGCGATCTTTCAGCTGCAATTTCACGCATTTGGCGTATTTCACGCAATTTGAGCAAACTTGCGTCCCCTATTGTGAGGCGCTATTCTTTTTGGGGACTGTATCGATTCTTTCACCATGTAGTTGATAGTCTTGGCAATCATTTCCAAAATATTTGAGAACCCCAGTTGCCAGAACCCTGTAGTTTTAGAACTTGCTATTGGCCCTGTTTTTAGCATTTTATATGCAGAGTACCATAGGCAAGGCCCAGTAGCGCTGAATGGGTTAACACTCTCTACCTGCATATAGATTGAGGAACTTAAGTCGGTTTCACATTGCCTACTAGCTTGGATTCCATGGATGGTGACTCACAAGTTGTCAATTACTAGCCCCGAATAAGAGTTTGAATGTACAAGATGAGACGATGTGTGAGACAACTTGTGATTTTGTCAACTGTTGCATTACAATCTCCATAGCTAAACGTTCATCTGCCATTGTGATTGTGAACTTTTGTGCAACTTATTGAGAATTTTTCCCTGGACCAATGCTTCTTGACTGTGCTTCCAGGGTAAAGACACTCCGTTGCACAAAGCCGTCAAGCAAGGCAATATCTACATTTTCAAATCCCTGCTCGAAGCTGGTGCCGACAAGGACATCCAGAATAGTGTAAGAGCACAGTTTTTGAGTGTTGTGCACGGTGATTTGTATGTTCTGTCTTTGCACTATACAAAATGCATACAGTAAAACAGTTAGTTTCTCTGACCCTGACGTAATTGGAATCTCGTCATGACCTGCAACACAGTTTCATGTACTGACTGGAAGTCAGTTCAAAGTGCGCGCCTACAAGCAGAATTACATGAAATGCGGAAATTGGACAATAACGTTGGCCAAAGGCCTCCTGTCTAATTGAACATGATCAATTACATTCCGCTTCATCGAAAGCTCATGCCAATATTTCGCTTAGAAACACCCTCGACATGCAGCTAGATTGACTTTCACATTGCTTACTGGTTTGGATTCTATGGATGGTGACTCACAACTTGTCAATTACTAGCCCCGGATGAGAGTTATTTCAAATGTACAATATGCGACGAGGTGTTAGATAATTTTCACTTTGTTCACTGTTGCATTCCACTGTGCATTGTTTTGAGTTGATCTACTATTGTTTTCCTGTAATCTCATATCCAACGTAATGAGAACCTTTTCGTGAGCTGTTGCCCTTTGCCTGTGTTTCCAGAGTGGCAACACACCATTGCTCTATGCTGTCATGAACGGAAGAAACAATTTTTTCCATACCTTGTTCGAAGCTGGTGACAAGGACATCCAGAATAGTGTAAGAGCACAGTTTTTGAGTGTTGTGCATGGTGATACATACAGTAAGAATATAGAGTAAAATATTAGTTTCTCTGGCCCCGACCTAATTGGAATTTTTTCATGACCTGAACTGCGTCTCTGGCCTTGCCATTCAGCGCACGGTGAAGTCGGCGCAGGTTCTCCGCATGCGAAAACCCAAAATTCCCTGGTTGTTGTCTTGAACATCTTTTTGAAGATCAGCCATTCTTCAGGCTGCCCGGCAAACTGTGGCAGATCCCACCAGCTTGCCTGGCCATATAGCCTTTCATATGTTGCTGTGATCAAGTGTCCGAGGACTTCTGCGTGTATACCGCTGCCAATATAGCTCCAACGAACTGTGTGATGTCAGACTGCGGCTGCAACGTAACATCTGACTGTGGCGGCTGTTGCTGACCTACTGCAAGACTGTGTACTGTGGCTGTCAGTGGCGTGTCCAGGATTTGACTGAGGGGGGGGGGGGGGACTGTTTCATTCCACTCTCCATTGTTATGACTGCGTTGATCTGCAATTATTGTGATTGTGATCAAATATGTAAGTTATTGAGTACTTTTCGTGGACCCCTGTTTCTTTCCTGTGCTTCCAGGCTGGTGACACTCCATTGCACTGTGCCACCAAGCAATGCAATGTCGACATTTGCAAAACCCTGCTCGGTGCCGGTGCCGAGAAGGACATCCAGAATATGGTAAGAGTACAGTTTCTAGTGTAGTGCCTGGTGTACATGCATGTACTGTATTCACTCTTTACCCAATACGTACAGTAAAGCACTTGTTCCTCTGACCCTGTCCCAACTGGAATCTTGTCATGACCTGAACATTATATATTCATACACTAACTCGAAGCCAGTTAAAAGTCCACCGGAACATGTGGAATTATATCAAAGACGGAACTGGGGAAGAACCTTTGGGCAAAATCCTGCTGTCTACTTGAAATTGGTCAATTTAATTCCGTTTCATACTATGCTCATGCAAAGGTTTTGCATGTTTACGCTCTCAACAGCTACTAGCTTGGATTCACTGGATGATCACTCATAAATTGTCAATTGCTAGCCCTGAGTGAAAGTTCAAACGTACAAAATTAGACGATGTGTGGGATAAATTGTGAATTTGTCAACTGTTGCATTCTACTCTCCACTGTTATGACTGCGTTGATCCGCACTTGTGATTGTGATCTAATATGTAACTTATTGAGTACTCTTCGTGGACCCCTGTTTCTTTCCTGTGCTTCCAGGATGGTGACACTCCGTTGCACTGTGCCGTCAAGCAATGCCATATCGCAATTTGCGAAACCCTGCTCGATGTCGGTGCCGAGAAGGACATCCAGAATTGGGTAAGGGTACAGTTTCGAGTGTAGTGCCTGGTGTACATGCATGTACTGTTTTCACTCTTTACCCAACACGTACAGTAAAACAAATGTTTCTCTGACCCTGTCCCAACTGGAATCTGGTCATGACCTGAACACATTTTTTATGTACTGACTCGAAGCTAGTTAAAAGTTCAACGCAACAAGTGGAATTATATCAAAGACGGAACTGGGGAAGAACTTTTGGGCAAAATCCTGCTGTCTACTTGAAATTAGTCAATTTAATTCCGTTTCATACTACAGTAAAACCTGTAATGGCGACCACTCGGATATGGCGACTACTCGACCATGGCGACCACTTTTCCTTGTCACGGACGCATTCACATTCAAAACACCTCGGATAAGGCGACCACTCGCTCAACGCGACCGGCGACCACCCACCCGGGACCGCGTTGCACAGTGCTAGTACATGTAAATGTATGCATTGCATAGTGCACCATGCATGGTAGATCTACACATCAGTGCAGGAAGTGTAGATGTACATGGTGCATGCACGACATTTGACAGGTCTGAGGACCCCAGGCACATAAGTCGTGCTAGAGTAGCATAGGTGTGTGCAATGCACTGATCAAAATGATGTATCACAATCATGTGGACATGGTCACGTAACCCACTGAACCTGGATAAGAAGACCACCTGACCACGGCGACCACTTTTTCTCGTCCCTTGAGACCTTAGACAGGTTTCACTGTATGCTCATGCAAAGGTTTTGCATGTTTACGCTCTCAACATTCAAATAGATTGAGCGTCCCGAGTCGTTTTCACCTTGCTTACTAGCTTGGATTCACTGGATGATCACTCATAAATTGTCAATTGCTAGCCCTGAGTGAAAGTTCAAACGTACAAAACGAGACGATGTGTGGGATAAACAGTTTTCTCTGTGTGTGGGATAAATTGTGAATTTGTCAACTGTTGCATTCTACTCTCCACTGTTATGACTGCGTTGATCTGCACTTGTGATTGTGATCTAATATGTAACTTATTGAGTACTCTTCGTGGACCCCTGTTTCTTTCCTGTGCTTTCAGGATGGTGACACTCCGTTGCACTATGCCGTCGAACAATGCAATATCCATATTTGCAAAGCCCTGCTCGATGTCGGTGCCGAGAAAGACATCCGGAATAGTGTAAGGGTACAGTTTCGAGTGTAGTGCCTGGTGTACATGCATGTACTGTTTTCACTCTTTACCCAGTACGTACAGTAAAACAGTTGTTTCTCTACTCTAAGTCGAAGCCAGTTAAAAGTTCACCACAACAAGTGGAATTATATCAAAAACGGAACTGGGGAAGAACTTTTGGGCAAAATCCTGCTGTCTACTTGAAATTGGTCAATTTATTTCCGTTTCATACTATTCTCATGCAAAGGTTTTGCATGTTTACGCTCTCTACATGCAAATAGATTGAGCGTCCCGAGTCGTTTTCACCTTGCTTACTAGCTTGGATTCACTGGATGATCACTCATAAATTGTCAATCGCTAGCCCTGAGTGAAAGTTCAAACGTACAAAATGAGACGATGTGAGTGATAAATTGTGAATTTGTCAACTGTTGCATTCTACTCTCCACTGTTATGACTGCGTTGATCTGCACTTGTGGTTGTGATCTGATATGTAACTTATTGAGTACTTTTCGTGGACCCCTGTTTCTTTCCTGTGCTTCCAGGCTGGTGACGCTCCGTTGCACTGTGCCGTCAAGCAATGCAATATCGCAATTTGCGAAAACCTGCTCGATGTCGGTGCCGAGAAGGACATCCAGAATATGGTAAGAGTAAAGTTTCGAGTGTTGTGCCTGGTGTACATGCATGTACTGTTTTCACTCTTTACCCAATACGTACAGTAAAACAAATGTTTCTCTGACCCTGTCCCAACTGGAATCTGTCATGACCTGAACACATTTTTTTATGTACTAACTCGAAGCTAGTTAAAAGTTCACCGCAACAAGAGGAATTCTATCAAAGGTGGAACTGTGGAAGAACGTTTGTTGGTCAATTTCATTCCGTTTTCCCATGCTATGCTCATGGAAAGGTTTTGCATGTTTACACTCTCAACATGGAAGTAGATTGAGCGATGTGTGGGATAATTTTGTAATTTGTCAACTGTTGCATTCTACTCTCCACTGTTATGACTGCATTGATCTGCACTTGTGATTGTGATCTAATATGTAACTTATTGAGTACTCTTCGCGGACTCCTGTTTCTTTCCTGTGCTTCCAGGCTGGTGACACTCCATTGCACTATGCCGTCAAGCAATGCAATATCCCAATTTGCGAAACCCTGCTCGATGCCGGTGCCGAGAAGGACATCAAGAATTGGGTAAGGGTACAGTTTCGAGTGTAGTGCCTGGTGTACATGCATGTACTGTTTTCACTCTTTACCCAATACGTACAGTAAAACAAATGTTTCTCTGACCCTGCCCCAACTGGAATCTGGTCATGACCTGAACATATGTTCATACAGTAACTCGAAGCCAGTTAAAAGTTCACCACAACAAGTGGAAAAAAAATCAAAGACGGAACTGTGGAAGAACCTTTGGGCAAAATCCTGCTGTCTACTTGAAATTGGTCAATTTAATTCCGTTTCATACTATGCTCATGCAAAGGTTTTGCATGTTTACGCTCCCAACATGCAAAATAATAGATTGAGCGTCCCGAGTCGTTTTAACCCTTTACCAGCCGCAGGATTTATATGTAATAAAACGAGGTCCACTAGATTGAGAATAGAGACTAAACGGTAAATAATTTGTAGTGACACCTTTATAGTTCTGAAAAGCTGGTAGAATTACCTTTCATATGAGACTAAAGCCAAGCTGATAACATGTAGAATCGTTGCCATTCATGGCGAACAATAACTTGAGCAATGCGGCCGAATTAGCAAATTCGAGGACCAAGACGATATGTACACTGTTCAGCTTCAGCTCATGCACCAGTTCATCTGTCAAGATTCAAACACCAGCAGAACCAGGCTCAGTGTTCTAGCGCTCATTTTTGGTGCATGTCACGCATCATGGGCTGTGCAGTGTGCACTGCACTGGGGAAATCGCGAACACTTACTTCAGCATGAAGTGCGTCACAGTCACACATACACACTTGAAATTTCAACTCCACCCGTTTGCTGGACTTCGAGCTTCGGCGCTTGAGTATTTTACTTCGTGCTATATCGAATGATACATCGTTGGAAAGCTGCGTTCAATAGCTTTCCAATGAGCCGTCATATGTTGAATTTGAAGTAGGCAGACCGACGTTATAGCTGTTTGTACAGTGCTCTATGCCCGTTTAGCATGAAATGTGCAACAGTCACACGCTTGAAATTTCAACTTCAGGCCGTTTCCTGGACTTCGAGCTTCGGCGCTTGAGTATTTTACTTCGCGCTGTATCGAGTGAAACATCGTTGGAAAGCTGCGTTCAATAGCTTTCCAATGAGCCGTCATTTGTTGAATTAGAAGTAGGCAGACCGAAGTTATAGCTGTTTGTACAGTGCTCTATGCTCGTTTAGGATGAAGTGCGTCACGCTTGAAATTTCAACTTCACTCGGGTGCATTCAACCGTGATTTTCTCGAAAAAATGATGTGCACCACACGGTTTTCTCGATAGTAGGTGATTCCGTAGGTTTTCAGCAGTAGTTTGCGATTAGTCCAACCGCAGTGCGGCAAAAAACCATGGTTTACAGCGCGAAAAACTAATGCGTCGAATTCGACTCATTCGCACTATGTACGGGTGGTAAAGGGTTAACCTTGCTTACTAGCTTGGATTCACTGGATGATCACTCATAAATTGTCAATTGCTAGCCCTGAGTGAAAGTTCAAACGTACAGAATGAGACGATGTGTGGGATGAACAGTTTTCTGTGTGTGTGGGATAAATTGTGAATTTGTCAACTGTTGCATTCTACTCTCCATTGTTATGACTGCTTTGTTCTAAAATTGTGATTGTGATTTATTATGCAGCCTATTGAGACTGAGTTCTGGACTGTTGTTTCTTACCTGTGCTTCCAGGATGGCGACACTCCGTTGCACAAGGCAGTCATGAGAGGTTCACTCGATGTGTGTCAAGCGCTGCTCGCTGCAGGGGCGGACTGCAACATCAGGAATGAGGTAAAGAACAGTATATAGAGTGCCTGGAACCATGATGATCATGTTCTGTGCTTACACTGTACGATTTAGAAGGAAAACAAATTACCTATGTGTTCCCCTGATCTTTGCCCAATGGGAATCATGTGTTCCCCTGATCTTTGCCCAATGGGAATCATGTGTTCCCCTGATCTTTGCCCAATGGGAATCATGTCACAATGGCAATTTTTTCAAATTTACTGCCTCCTCAACACTGTAATTTGTGCAGATCTTTGCCCCAGCGGTTTTGTGACTATTATTCTTAAAATTGGCCTCATGGCCATTGCTTACAAGGTTGGTATATGGTTGAGAGACGCCCTCACACCAGAATCGTTCACCTGAGCATGTGCAGACGGAACATTATCTGTGTTCCATCCAGTACACATATGAGCTGCTAGTATTTCGAAGTACGAGAACTTGGAACGACTTCGGGAGAAGCAGACAGGAGAACTTCGGGTGCATGAGCCGAAAAGCAGTTCGAACTATATTGTATCAAACATCCCTTTAGGTTAGCACAGCGCAGGCTCTGTTCTTGCACATAGCAGCTTGTGCCAACAGGACCTGGAGCATTGTAGCCGTGCATACAGGATTTTCAATTTTCCAATTTTCCGTGCATGAATGTGCGTGCACTAGCTCCACAAACTGGTTTCGAGAGCAAAGCACAGAAGCACAGAAGCTAAGATTTCTGTGCTTCACGTTACTCCTTTGTTTCTTGCGACGCTCTATCTCAACCTGTCGGAGACGTTGTGAGTTCCCGACATGTTGACAGATTGCATGGGCAACTCTGCTCGGTTTGGCCCATGGCTGATTCAGTTGACGGTAACGTTTCCGAAAATCATAAGTAATGCCATACGAGGCATGTACTACGCATCTGTGGACGTATGAACTTGGCCAGATTTCACTCTACAGTAAAACCTGGTGTAAGCGACATCTGGGTTTAGCTACCACCTGCTTTTAACGACCGTTTTTCCATGCATGGACAGTACTATACAGAAACTGCACCTGCCTTGCGCGACCAGCGACCATCTTTTAGTGTACCAAGTGCCATATTGCACCTGCACAATGCGACCAAAACTAACCGGAACTTACCAAAAATGCTCTAAACATGTGAGCTATGGGACCAGGTTGAACCCAGAAGGCGCTGACAACTGTTTCAGTCCAAATGCAGCTCACAACATGTGCTGTACATGCTGGTGGCGCTTGGGTCTTTTCCCTCCTCCGGGGGACCAACCACGGGCAGTTTCCGGAACGTATTCCCAGAGGTGAAAGAAAGTGATTTGTGAGCCTTGCTCATGAAAAAAATAGGTCCCGGATTTGAGTCCTGGTGGATCTGGCATTTTTTATCTCCTTTTGGGCAGTTCACTTCCCCGACTGGTCCTTTGAAATTAGAAGTTCTTCCCATCCTTTAAAATTATTCACTTTCTTTCAATTCTGGTAGCACATTCCAGAACTGACCTCGGTTGGTCTCCTGGGGAGGGATAAAGACCCGAGAGTCATCAGTATGTGTGGCACGTGTTGTGAGCTGCCTTTGGAGTGAAAAGCTTGTCAGCGCCTTCTGGTTTCAGCTTGGTTCAATAGTTGGGATGGTTATAGCGTTGCCCACAACAATCAAGGTCCCGGATTCGAGAGTTCACTTCCTCGACTCATCCTTTGAAATTTGAAGTTCTCCCAATCTTTAAAAGAATTCCTTTTGAAAGCCATAAAACGCAAACTCCAAAATTGCTGCTGAATCATCCGGGAGCATTCCAGATGTGAATACAAGATTTCCGTACATGAACCCTCACGTCAGGTTTAGGTGCACTAGCTGCACAACTGCTTTCGTGAGCAAAGAACAGAAGCACGGAAGCTAAGACTTCTGAGTGCCTTCCTCCTCCGTTTGTTCCTTGCGCTACTCTATATCATCAACATGGCGGAGACGTCGTGAGTGCCATTCCGTTTGCAGAATGCATGCTAAACTCCGCTTGGTTTGGCCCTGCGCGGATTCAGTTGACGGCAACTTTTCTCCAGATCATAAGGCAATTATACCGTACGAGGTATGTACTACGAATCTGCAGCTGCGTGAATCGCCTGGGTTTCACTGAACCTGCACTATGAGTACGATATTAAATTACACATGCAGGACAAAAGGCAAAGAATCCATTTTGAAAGCGGCAAAAACACAAACTCCGAAATTGCTGCTGAATCATCCGGGAGGGATCAGATTAAGGCAGTGGCCAAGTACCGTAGTGAGTATTGAAATCCATCCCAGAGTGCAAAGCTGATACCCTGGACCCGTTCCGATGTCATCACTGCACTGGTACATGTGTATGTCCAGCCGCATTCGTACCACTTCCTGGGTATCAAGGACTGTGCGAGTTCATGGCACCAAATAGTGCACTTTGGGTGGGATTTCCCCGAGCACAACTGCACAAGTACCTGTATGACATGATGTATATACTGATAAGTGTGGAATGTGTATATTGCAACTGTCCTGTGTTTAGGATGGCGAGACTCCATTGGACAAGGCGCGAAACAACGGCCACCGTTCAGTTGAAGAGCTATTGAAGAAGGTCACTTCAGAATCTGCTGAATCACCTGGGAGGGATCAGATTAAGGCTGAAATAGAATGAGTGTCGTTGTGATAACATCATTTACGAGGGTCGTTGTGATAACATCATTTACGAGTGCGTTGTTACGATACAGTGTTTGTAGTGCGTTGTGCGTGTTTGTCGGATAATAATATCAATAACAATACGCCGATATAATAATAGTTGCATAGATAGTACTTACGTTGTTGCTTGCATTATCGCTCTCCACAGCAACTCCACTGCGTGCGGCGTTCTATATATTCATGTTCTGTACACTGACTCTCTCTGACAGGGTTTTGTGTCACCCTGTCGCTGGGCGCAAGCACCCTCTGACAGACCAAACCGATTCGCTTCATCTTTGCAATATTTATCTCCTTTTGATTTGAATTTCTGTTTGTTCTGCACTCTGACTTTTCCTTGTTGCACCTGCGCTTTTGGACGCGGAACTTTGCTGTCGCCATTATGATTATATCCATGGTTACGTTGTACGTTGACTCATCGATGCATCATGCATGATTAAGTGATCATCTGCTTTTCTACTCTTCGATCTTCATGCATGCACGCACTGATGTACACGTAAGCCACTGCACGCACTGATGTACACGTAAGCGAATGCACGCACGCGGGCACGTTTTGCTGATGACAGCGATTTGGCGATCGTTGTTCTTGGTTCTTTTCTTGTTGTTATCTTCTTGTAAATATCTTAAAACTTTGTTTCTCCTACCTGGTCGCTTGGTGCACTGGCCTGTGTAAGCGACGGTGATGGTGGTTTGTGGAGTACAGTAGTGAAGAATACTAGACGACAACTTTTGGTCCCGAAACCCTAGCTTGAGGTTGAGCCTTTCAGGGCTGTTTCTTCGTTTTTCAGTTTTCTCGTTCTGTAAGTGTTTGTAGCCTGTAGGGCTGTGTTACCTTAGTGGGTAGTAATGTCGACGTTGAAGGTTGACGGATTTGTTGAGCCCTTCAAGGGTAAACATGACCACTGGGACATGTTCTGGGTCAAGTTTCAAGTGAATGGCGAATGTTCTGGTTGGGACACCGAAGCACTGACTTGAAAGCTGATAACCAGGTTGCCCCTGTTCTCGCTCTACATATACTGGCATACACAGAGACACAGACAGCAATAGCGACAACACACAAAGTGAAGGGTAGTTGGCCGCAGCCAGATGTGAACCGGATAACGAGTGAGGTATGGAAGCAAGCAAGGACTGAGAACAGAGTGTCTCAGATAGAATAGGCGTGCCAGTGGATAGCAGAAATAGGCCATGATGCAGAAGCACTTGGGACCGTCAGATTAATTTTCCTGGACCGAGCCAGCCGGGAAAAAACCCTCGCGCCGACGGACGCATTTGCGAGGGAAAAAACCGGGTGTATATCCCCAATGGCGATTAGGCATCATGTAGGCATGGCAAGCACATCACGGCAAACATGATAAAAAGCATTGATGATATGCACAGAAATAAAGGGTGGGAGGGCAGGGACACTGGTGAGACTCAAAACTGACTGAAGAAGTCAGGAAAATAAGCGACAACAAAGAACACACCAGATGCCATATTTGCAACTGAAAATATTTCGCGAGAAATCATTTCTCGCCTATCTCGCTACGCTCGGCCGGCGAGAAATACAACTTCTTGTAATCAGATGCTCTGTTAGTTTACTCCAAGATGCCGTCAGCTTATCAGAAACACAAAGCCAAGGTGGTGAATGTAATGAAAAAGACATTTGGAGTGTCACCAGGAGATGCATATCGCCAATTCAGTAACCGGCGGTACCGGCTGGATGAGACGCCTGAGGCGTATGTTGCAGACTTGTGCCACCTGCTGTCTGCGGCCGGCCACTCCGGCGATGGTGATGACAACGCCATCATCATTGAACAGCTGCTGGCGTGGCTACCGGTCCACTTGGAACGGCAGATACGCCTCTCGTGCGCTGGCGTCAAGTTCTCGGTACCGGACATTGTGTGCAAGATTCGTGCCGTAGCCGTTGTGGATTCGTCCCGGCCTCATACGGGGATGGCAGCAGCAGCCAGTGGCAGTGCTGCGCCCCGAGGTTGCAGCAGCAGTGGTGGCAACAGCGCTAGTGGAAAAGCTCCCAAGGCCAATACACTTTGTTACTTCTGTAACGAGCCCGGGCACATTCGCCGGAACTGCCCGAAGCGGACTGCCAGCTGAGGAACACTTCAGTGCGTGTTCTGCGATAAGACCGGGCACTTGAAAAAGGATTGCTTCCATCCGAAAAAGTGTCTGGAGGCGCAGTCGGTGAACAGCGTTTCAGCGGGATCTGTGCGCGGCGCAGACAAGGTGCTCTGCCTGCAGAATCATGCCTTCGGTGGGCTAACGCGCATCGCGCATATACTCAGATGTCTCGTCTCCGGGCGGAAGCCGCTATCGAGCAACTGCTATCGTGGATACTGGTTCCACTCGCACACTTATTTCTCGTGCTCGGCTCGCGCACATGCCTGATGTGCAGTTGTTTCGTGCCGACAGCGCGTCGACCATCCTCGCGTTGCACGGTAAGCCCCTTGATGTACTAGGCTCGGCACAGCTGCAGTTCCACCGCGATGATGGACCGGTGCGCATACCCTGCACATGTATAGATGTACTTGTAGTCCCGAATTTATTGGTGGTGGCTGCCGATGTCTTGCTAGGCAACGACCTTGTTGCACGGTGTGGTGGCGTCAGCGTGTCATATGACGATGACGGCAGCATGAGTCACTTAGTTTTCGGAGAACAAGTGCCTGCTGCTGCTCAGCTGCTGCAGCCGCTGGTCGGGTCACCTCACCTGATCAGGCTGATGCTGCTGACACAGCGTCCAAGCTGTCGCGTCATGTTTCTGTGTCACAGGATTGTGACCTGTCAGCTTTTCTATTATTGTATTCACAACGACACCGCTATGCTACGTAAGTTTCTACGTAAGGTGCTCGGTACGTCACTTAGGCTACGTAAGTTTCTACGTAAGGTGCTCGGTATTAGATCTACTAACGCGTGGTAGCCGCGTGCTGTGCACGTGCACGGCAGACATTGTGTTGCATGCAGTGCAGTCCGCGAGGAACTAGGGTGCTGGCAAAAGTCGTGCAGCCCAATACGTGGCTCAAAAACGTGATTTTTTGAACTTGGAGCAAAATTCTGCACACTTTCGCGTGTTTCCATGATACGACAAGTTGCGCACGGTCTGCCCACATTCAAATACAGTGCTGCCAAAAAAAGACAGCGTGCAACAAAAAAATCTTTCCTTGCAAGGGCACATTTTAGGCCATAACTCTTGAACGGCTGGTCAGATCGGGACACAATTTTCAGAGAATTTGCAGCTATTCAAGCTCTTTCAACTTACGTAATAATAATAATAATAATAATAATAATAATTTTAGAATTGCGATCAACAGAACGAGCTGAACCGACATTTCACAAAGGCTTTTATTGTTTTCAAAAAACGAGTGGATACGAAGGCAGTGAAGAACGTGGAAGAAAGAAAAAATGTGATATGGAAAAAAAATGATGAACAAAAAATTTGTACTTCGAACTAGTTTTCGCACAACACTCCTCAGGAAGCTACGTTGTACTAATGAAAAACAATCCAGAAAGATACTAATAAAGAGAAATGGAGTGAGAAGAAACAACACCTATGAAAATGATAATCCTAGCACTAAGGTAATAACAGGAAAAACTGCGAAAGCAATTAACGAACTTGTAAGGACTACTAGTATACTGTGACACAAGATATGACACCATGGCCAACCAAAGCCAAACCGACAGAACAAGCTGCCACTAAAACAATTTCAAACGAATAATGCTGTCCTTCTGGACACACAGATCAGGCTTATGAATACGTTGACAAACAGCTTCTAACACACTCAACTGCAACTTATAACCATGACGAGCACGGCACAAAACAGAAAAAGAAGAATCAGAATACACCTTGCAACAATCAGGACGAGATGCAAGATGCTTATACACTGATGACTTCCTACTAGAAAACACACGCTCGCACCCACTCTTACTCACACAATCATTCTCGCTCTCACACTCACCGGAATCACTGGACTCACTGGCCGAATCCTCCTCAACGACGTCCTGCCTCGGAGCAATCAGGTCCCGTCTCCTCCCATCCCTCGTCTCACGTTCCTGTTGTGTATTACGTTGGCTCGGTACTTCCGTACTGAAATAGGTCATGGTGTAATTAGCAGTTGTTCTTCTGGGTCTCGTTGATATTGAGGTAGGTATTTTTGTCGTCTCTGCCGGTGATGCAGCAAGCGATGCTGATGCAAACGTGTCTGCATGCAACACACGTGGCGTCGCCGAAGCCACATCCACCTCCGCTGGTGGAGGGAGTGACTTGGTCATGGCCACGGGAGCCAATGGTGGACTTGTCGAGTGGGACGCTAGGTCCTGTGTTGGCGGAGGTAGTGGTTGTTTACGGGGTCTTCCCCGCGTGGGACTCTCCAGTTGTGCGCTACGTATTCATAAGCCTGATCTGTGTGTCCAGAAGGACAGCATTATTCGTTTGAAATTGTTTTAGTGGCAGCTTGTTCTGTCGGTTTGGCTTTGGTTGGCCATGGTGTCATATCTTGTGTCACAGTATACTAGTAGTCCTTACAAGTTCGTTAATTGCTTTCGCAGTTTTTCCTGTTATTACCTTAGTGCTAGGATTATCATTTTCATAGGTGTTGTTTCTTCTCACTCCATTTCTCTTTATTAGTATCTTTCTGGATTGTTTTTCATTAGTACAACGTAGCTTCCTGAGGAGTGTTGTGCGAAAACTAGTTCGAAGTACAAATTTTTTGTTCATCATTTTTTTTCCATATCACATTTTTTCTTTCTTCCACGTTCTTCACTGCCTTCGTATCCACTCGTTTTTTGAAAACAATAAAAGCCTTTGTGAAATGTCGGTTCAGCTCGTTCTGTTGATCGCAATTCTAAAACTATTGTCGCCTCGACGCCTATTTAAATAATAATAATAATTAGGAGTATAATCGATGCAGACATGGCCAAAACAACAACGAGTTCATGGAATTTCATGAAAATCGATTTTGAATAACATAAAAATCCTTAAAAATTCCATGAACTCGTTGTTGTTTTGGCCATGTCTGCATCGATTATACTCCTAATTGCACTAATAAAATTGCTTTCTCCACGCCGACTCTTTAAATAATAATAATAATAATAATTTGGAAAGGATTGGGAGAACTTCAAATTCAAGGGATCAGTCGGGGAAGTGAACTGCCTGAAAAGAGAAAAAAACGCCAGACCCACCAGGACTCGAACCTGGGACCCTGCTTGTCATGAGCAATGCTATAACCACTGAGCTATGGGACCAGGCAGAACCTAGAAGGCGCTCAGTGGTTAGAGCATTACTCATGACAAGCAGGGTCCCAGGTTCGAGTCCTGGTGGGTCTGGCGTTTTTTTCTCTTTTCAGGCAGTTCACTTCCCCGACTGATCCCTTGAATAATAATAATAATAATAATAATAATAATAATAATAATAATTTGAAACTCGGATGTTGAGCCATAAATAAATGTAAAATAGAAAAGGACATATGGATACGAGTTTAGAGTAACTCTCCATCACTGTAACATGATACTATATACAGTCAGAAAGTGCAATAACTCGGCACAAAACTGACAGAATAATAATAATAATAATAATAATAATAATAATAATAATAATAATAATAATATTAACTAGTTTGAGGGAAAGAGACAAACGGGAAAAGTCTGAAGAAAAAA